GGTAGTGAAGTCAAACTTTGGACTTCACTGTGCTGTATAATGTTTTGGAAATGCACACCTCATTTAACCCAATGGCAACACTGTGTGTATTTGTACAAGTGTGACAGTGTGTTGCTAAAGCCTCTTACTAAACACACAAAAACCTGTGTGTGTGTTCCTGCAACTGAACAGGAAATGAACACAATCTGTCCACGTTGCCACAGCAGAAATACTCGCTACAGCCTCTCAAAGCTCGATATTACACATTATTATTTCTTCTCTGCCTTCACCTGAAAACTCAACATCCAAGTCTCAATCACACCTTCTTCTCAGGTGTCTCCAGGCCTCTAACTGCTCCAACATTCACGCTTTTTCTTGATCTAGCTTCTTCCTTCTTAACGCTTATTTCCACTCCTGGCACTTCTCTATTGGACACCATTACACACCATCAAACAAATGTTCCATTGCACCCGGGGTCAGGCTATTGGGCTGTGTCTTCACACTATTAACAGTTGACTTCATGGTTTGCCGGTGCTCGGCAACAGGGTAAAAATATCAGCCAAATGTCCAAAAAGTAAACGAAAATTGAGACATAGCTGATAGCTGATAAAGCCTGAACTGATGCAGAACTGATGTTTTTCTGCCAAATCCGGATGGAGACCATATGGTTTGTAAAACTGCACACAGTTTTAAAACATCTGACTGGCTGCATAAACTGTATAACTGACTAGATTTAGTGGACCACTCCTGATACTTGAATTTCAACACCAGATCTTTTTGATATCTCTTACTTGTTGAGTGAAATTGAATTTGTGTAATTTGCACCTGTTGTCTGTAATGATGTGTTCCTGGAGGCTGACGGCACGTTTTTAGCTACAAATGCTGCGGTTCTCCTTCCATGGAGGCCACCATGTTGAACCGTTTCTACAGTAGCCCAGACAAACCAAGCACTGGCTCTAGAGTTTCATGGCCACTGTAGTTTCCTCTACGTATTTGGAAGGGGAGAGTAAAGCGAGGGAGTTGCAATCTACAACTACACTACTAAATGGCACTAAATCCTACTCACTGGTCCTTTAAATCTTTACCATTTTTAATTATGTAGGATATAAAAAACCTTATAAAGATCAAAGTAAACAGAAATATTAAGACTACAAAAAGAAAAACGTCTTAAATGTTCTAGAGAACAAAACTATTTTTGTTACAACTCAGTCATCGTTCTCCTTCTCTCCTGGGTTAAACTCATGTTCAGAGAAGAAAACTGAACACGTACATACAGTTTTATGTAACTTGTTTTGCCTTTGGCTGCTCTTTGTGTTTGCCGTGTCCAACTGTTGTAAATGCACAGCACTGTTTTAAGTTATATCACAAGAACTGTAAAACCACAACTTTAACCAAGGGGACAAAACAAAAAGGCCCTCTGTCTGCTGGGACATCCGTCATCACAAAGGTTTCGTCATCAAAAACAAGAGAACTGCTTATTAATCTGGACCTTCAGACTGAGTAGCCACTATGTTGTACTGAAACTGAACAGTCGTGCCTTTGGATGCAAGAACATAGAGGTTTTAACTTTAGAGTTGTAAAATCCTGTCAGAGCACCAAGGCTCATGATGAACCCGCCCTTTACAGGCTTAAATAACTTTGACAATCAATTAATAGTTTATGTAATTTTTCAAGGAAAATCTGATTTCATGATTTGCTGCTTTTTAGATGACAGGTCAGTCAAAACAAAACATCTGAAGACGTCACACTGCCAGAAAATCAGCCTTGAGAACTTCTGATTTTGCACAGTGAAACCATAACTAAGCACAGTGACACTCAGGGAGGTTACTGTACTTAGTTAATGTTTAGATCACGTCGAAAAAAGCAGCAGCCACAATATCTGATATTAGTTTCTCTGTAAAACTTTCCATTATTGTTGCCGTCACTGGTCTGCTGCTGACTTTACTTCACATCCAGATAATGCCCCCGTTGTGCTTGACTGCATTTGGTAGTATTAATTGTAGTGTAATTAATTTAATCCATTCTGACCACTGAAGAGCGACAGAAAAGGGGGGAGAGAGAGAGAAGGGATGACACGCAGCAGATGGCCACAGGCTGAAGTCGAACATTTGGCTGCTGCAGCAAGGACTCAACCTTGGTTCATGGGGCACCAGCTCTACCAGGTGAGCTACGAGGGCGTCCCTGTGGTGTTCAGTTGTCCGGACATATTTCTCTGAGAGCTGGACACGCACGTTTGCAGCGATGTGAGCCTCTGAGCTTCCCCACTGTTCCCGACCCACAACAAGGCGAGTCCCCGTACAAAGACTGGGTTTGTGAGATCTGTGACATAACGCTAATCTCTGTTCGTAGCGGAGGGAGCCTCCCTGCGCCGTCGCCTCCTCCTCTGAGAGGGCCTTGTTTTCAGTCACAGAGATGATAACTGAGATGGGAGGGAGGGAATCGGAGCTGTTATATAACCCCCAGAGTCGAGAGTGACCTCTAAGAGGACAGGGGCCTCAGACATTGTAGTCCGTAGAGCTAAGAGGGAGGGAGGGAAGGATGGATGTTTCTAAACAACTTAGTTTGTTATTTCTCAAATTGGAGTTTTAGTTTGCCAAACAAACATTTTTATGATGCTGCAATCCTCTGGAGGCAGAAAAAAATAATCTTACTGAGAATCTTCATGAGCTGAACCTCAGGAGCCAGAGCCAAACAAACACAATGTTTTTGTATCACGACATAAACTGGCAAACTTTAATGTCAAAGAAGAAACTTTGAAGCTAATAAACTAACACAACATTTTTCAATAGAATGAAATATATCAAGTTAACAAAACCACCAAATGAAATCTTTAACACATTCTGCATTATTGTGTTAAAATAGGTTCACAAAATCCTTCATGTTATTTATCAAATAAATATGTCAAACATTTGTAGGTCCCAGTTTCTCCAGTGTGAGTTTAATCTTTTATCTACCTGATATCATTAACTGAATCTCTTTTCTCACACAAAATAAGGAGCGGGGAATTGGATGGATTAATTTATTGATTAAAATAACAAAACATAGGACTAAACACGCTCCACAATAAATGCAGTTCTCTGACTGTGACTGTGACTAAAACTCCCAATCTGCTCTTTCCTCACTGATGAAAGGTAAGAAAACGGAAACATCCGCAGACATGAAGCCTGATCAAGATGATCACAATCGGTGAGTGTGTTTACTTTTCCCTCCCCGAGACGTCACACACACACACACACACACACACACACACACACACACACTTTGCACCAGGTTGATGCTACGTGACAACAAGGAGGTCGAGTGTTCACAAAGAGGTTGATCTCCTTATACTGAAGGCGCAAAGAAAATGTTCTCCCACGTACTCGGGGAGCTCGGGGAATTGAAGTTTAACGTGCCTGTTTGAACACAAGGTACCAACAGAGCGTGGAAAAGTCTCAATAACAATAAGGAAAAAAAGGGTCAAGTAAGACGCTGACACCAACCAGCAACACCTTTTCCCTCCTGTTTTGCATCACATACCCCGAGATAACTGAAGTCCTGAAAGTGGGGCATCCTTTACTTAATCCAGATCTGGGAAATCAGGTCCATTTTTTCATTTGAAAAATGGGTTAGCAGCAGTTCAGAGATTCTCTGCCAATAAAACACTTAAGTGACTATTAATATAACGCCTCACGTTGTTTAACAAGTTGAGGTTAGTTTAGTAGGTCAGAGACAGAGAGAGCGAGCAGCGACGCAATCTTTGTGTTTCAGGCTGGGTTTGATAAAGAAGGAGCAGAAAAAACATACCAGAGTAAATGAATATAGGTAGGGAATAGGTTTTCTGTGATGCTTGCTCACTTATTTAATTAGTGTAGGACACAATGAGCACACAGAGGCCATTTTGACACCTGTCATGTCAGAAGAATCTGCTAAAACAAGCTCTAATTTCATTGGCGATGAATGAGGATGACACAAGACACCTTAACCTGTAACACAAGAGCACAAACTGTCCGTAACATTTGGGAAATTGTGTTACAGGTTGTCAAGTGGTGCCTCTACCTGGCAGCTCTTTTACCAGGTTTTTCACCGACATAATGAGCCTCCACTCACTCACTGTCCCGTTTCAACAAGTGTAAAACTCTGGAACGGGGACATCTGACGTGATTTTCGAGGCCATATAATCTCATCTAGTGAATCAAAGACAAGGAAGTGAGAAAGAGATGAAAGATGTTGTTGTTATCAAAGCCTAGGGAAGGAATCTGGAGTTATGTGACGTAAATGAGGAGATAAAAAGCCAAGTAACCAAATTAAAGCCATCTTCACTTTATAGGACACCACACAGTAGTGTCATTAAACCAGAATCCAAAGCAGAAAAAAGCAGCGGAGCTTTGGAGTAAAAAGGTTATTTTAGGGAGGTTTATAGCCAGTAGATCATTTGAGCGCCGTGAACTGGTTCGAGAGGTTTTGTGTGTGTGTTTAGTCTGGTTGTCCAGTTGAGGTGCCAGTGCAGATACACAGAGAGGCCACTTAACATGACAACACCCTGCGTTTAAATCTGACTCAGAGAAAACCAGCGCTTCATTAACCAGCCTGCACAAACTGGTGTAATGTGCACCTGAAATACTTTAGTGCAACAAACAGTAAAATAACAATGGTTTTATAGAAAACTTTGTAAAGACGCAACAGCAAAGCAATCTGATTATGATACTAAAGAGGGGGAAAACAAACCCAAACATAAGAAATCCTATATGGTCACTGCTAAATCACTGTATGTAACATAAACAGACCACACACAAGTTTAGGAGCCATATGGAATATGAAAGCCCCACTAACAGCATTAAAAACATACATAAATTCACCATACAGCTCCATAAATGCACTTTAAGCTCCTGTTTGTGTATTTAAGTGACTTTGTGAGAGGAAAAAAACATTTCAAACCGGATTCAGTTGTACGTAAAGACTTTAAAATGCCCTTTAAATAAGCGTTGCATGTATGAAGTTCTGTTTAAGGGTGTTTTCGTGTGATCTGAGAGGGTTTTTACCTGGATGAAGTAGCGACAAAATCTCCATCCAGCAGCCGCAGCTTGCAGAACAAAACTCCGTTGACAAAAGGCACAGCGGTCAGCTCCTCCAGGGTCAGATGGGTCTGAAACTTGAATTTCTTCTTTTTCACGAAGAAGGCCATTGTTTTAGTGTCTTCGCTCGCATAAAACACAGCAAGAGCTCACAAAGGAACCAAAGAATACTATTAAAAACTAGCTCGGCTAAGTGAAATGTCCCTACTGCTGCTGATGTCTTAGTCTGTGTTTTCATGCGAATTCCGCCTCTTCACAGATGATTCAGCACAGAAATCTGGAAACAAATCAAGTGTTCCCGTTATTACCGTGTATAAACGGAGAGGAAATGTTGGCGTTTGTTGTTTAAAAGTGATAGAGGACTTACCTGGAGACATTTCGGGTACTGTGAGTTTCGTCAGCAGCGGTTCAGCAACATAAAATGACAGAAAAAGACGTTTCATCTCTTGTTTCTTTACCTCAGTACCGAGAGGAGGAACTTTGCGCCTGTAGCGTCAAGCTAGCTGAATTTACGTCATGTAACGTCCGGTTTGTACCTTTCGGAATAAAAGCTCAGATCTACAGAACTTCACATATCTGTACATACATACATTCAAATGTCACTGCAGTGGTAGAAATAAAGTACATTTACTCAAGTACTGAACAGTTTTGAGGTACTTGAATAATTAGTACTAAGTAAGACATTTTACTTTTTACTCCACTTTACAGATTCTAAATATTAATCAAAAATAATATCAACAAATAAAATGTAATATATTATTATAGATTAAGCTACCCAGCATTAAATAAAGTATAAAGTGTATTAGTTGTTTTTTTATATTTTTGTTCTTTTACCTAAGTAAGATTTTAAATGCAGGACTTTTACTTGTATTTCTTCACTACGGTAAATAAATGATCTCAGTACTTCTCCCACCACTGAAAAATTGCCTAAATGTGACTTTACACTTTAAAAAACGTACTAACAGTGATCAGTTTGTGTTATCTATGCTGTTTCTCTGGAAATCATAGTTACTGAGGCAGTGAGTCAAATGTTAAAGTAAGAAAGTAATTTATTTAACCTATACTTGACATTGTTTTTTATACATAATCAAAAAAATATCCTTTCTCTCCTTCTTTAAATATGTTTTCTGTGGTGATAATGGTTAACTCCGTGTACTTAATTGTGGATTTTATTTTAAAAGGTAAATCACAAAACTTCGGGTCCTTTACTTGCTCACCTTTGTTAACTTGACAGAGCTCTCGGGCCCGTCATTCACTCACACTGATGCTGCTGCTGAGTGGGGAAACAGCGCCACCGTGTGGCCACACTGCTCAGTCAGTCCATTCATGTTGCCTTCAGGGACTCCTTACACATTCTATTGTCCCGGGACCACAAATGAACTTAAAACGTATTTTCTTGATAAATGAAGATCAAAATGAATTTTCTGGGAGAAATAGGGCAACAACTGACGACCAAAATGTTAAACACTGTATCATTTATCACTTCTTTTAGTGGACATATACCCTGTGTGATATTTTACCAGATACAGGCTTTTCTTCCTATGATAAAACATAAAGAAAGAGTTACAATAGTTCGGACTTTGATACGATGTTGATGCTTTCACTGCTGATCGTCACCATGATTGCTCTTTTATTTCACAAATAATGAAACAATCGAGCTGCTTTGTGCTGATTTAGATCTTCCTAAATGTGACAGCCAGACCTTTAACCGGATGAAATAAAAACCGCTCAGAGTGATTCAGTGTGATTAGTTCTTCTCGATGAGCCCTCATTTATCGTCCCAAAATATCTCAAGCACGTCCCTGTTCATTGTTACTACTTTATTGGGTCGTACAGGTGCGCTTTATTTGTAATTCCGATATTTACGATATGTATAAAGGCGGCACAATAAGAGACATTACTATTATTAAGTCATATTAAAACGTTATTTCTGTGTTAATGAAGTGTTGAATTACTGATTAAAGTAAAGTAATATAAAGAAAGCCAGTGCAGTATTACCACAGACTGCCTACATTATTTTGTAGTATTATTTTTATTATTATTATTATTAGTTATATTAACATGATATCTGATCTTTTGGAACAAAGGGATCCTATTTCCGCAGGGGGACATCAAGTATCAGTTCTAAGTGAATTTCTCAAGTTCAACCAACAGAGGGCAGCACAGGACCAAAGGAGAGAGTGGATATAGTGTATTTCTAAACTGTATATGTTAACCCCAATGCAGCATCTTGGATAATAGTGATATGATGTACTGTCCCACAAGATTTAAATATTTGTTTTTCACATGCACAGCTGTACACATTACAGTGGACAGTAAAAGCCTAAGTTACCACCTCAGTAGACTAGGAACAATGCTAGTAATAATAGAATATTGAAAAATACAAATATATTTTTAATTTGAACAATATAAGGAGCTGGTTTAAGCTAAATCAAATAGAAATACAGCACATATAGTCAAAGTATATGTACAATTTCAGTTTATTTATTGGTGTGTTTACTGTATATTTATGTGTCTTCTTGATTATCACAAAGGACAACATGTTTCCTCTTTCTTTGGATTAAGGCTGTTAATATTGTGATTCAATGACAATGATGATGAAAGTATGTAAAAAAAAAATTTCACTCTTGTGGAATACACTACTTTAATCCTATTTTACATTATTATGACTTTTAACATTTGTAATAAATAGCTAGAATGACAAGATAATTGTAATTTTCCATTTCTCTCCTTGTTAATATGTTTTTTAATGGTGATAATTGTTCATTATAAGTAATTCTGTTAAATTAGTCAAAGTTAAATTAAAGGCCACCCAAGCACTCTGTGTATTTGAACCACTTTCTCTAATTTAGAATAAGAAATAAGAAATATAGAAAACTTGAAAGACTTTGTAAACTTATAAAACTATAAAACACTGGGACACCAACACAGAAAGTTCCTTATCACTATAATCAATGGTTGATAAGGAACATCCTGTTACCTGTCTGTCCAACCTATTGACAACCATAAAAACATCACAATTCAACTGTACTTTTTTCAAAGGAAGACAACAACAGTGTTGCTATCAGATTATTGTGTAGCACACTGACTTTTCCCTGTTATTGATAAGACTACCCCCCACCCCCAACCCTGTATTTGTCTGATCCTGCAGGTTAAAGTGCTGCTGATACCTGTTTGTTACAGACAGACGTGTCTGCTTTCGTAACGGTTACTGTGTGACACAGAGGATTCAACAACAGGCAACAACAACAGCAGCTTCACTAACATGTTTTTATTCACACTGGATTTTAACTGGTGTGTTAATGGGCCCCTCATTATCTAGATCTTCAAAAACATATTTTCATATGAACCAAAACAGAAAGCAAAACCTTTAGACTGAAGTCACCAAAGGTTGAGGAGAAGAAAACTTACTCTCATGAGATCAGTGCTGGAAAGTAACCAAATACATTTACTCAAGTAGTCTGCTTAAGTAAAAACATTTTAAGGCCCTAAGACCTAAGTCCTTGGTGGAAGAAGTACTCAGATCCTTTACTTGAGAAAAGGTATAAATACCATAGTCTAAAAATACTCATGTAAAAGTCCTGGATTCAAAATGTTACTTAAGTAAAAGTATTATCAGTAAAATGTACTTCAAGTGTCAAAAGTAAAAGTACTCATTATACAGAATGGCTCTTTTAAGTGTTATATTATCATAGAATATTATATGATTCTGTTTTTATTGCTAACAAATGCACATCAGAGCATTTTAAATGTGGAGTTGCTTTTAGATACTTTAGTATAGTACTGCAATAAATATAACATAAGCATATGCAGAAAGTAATACAAATGTCAAATAAATAGAGTAGTAAAAAGTACATAATTTTCCTCTGAAATGCCTTTTTTCATTTATGCAATATTACAAAGATTAGACACATACTATCACAGACAGATGCAGAAAAACTAATCCATGCATTTGTTACTTCTAGGCTGGATTAATGCAACTCCTCCTTATTATCAGGTTGCCCCAATAAGTCCATTAAGACGCTCAAATTAATTCAGAACGCTGCAGCACGAGTACTGACAGGAACTAGAAAAAGAGATCACATTTCTCCTGTACTAGCTTCTCTGCACTGGCTCCCTGTAAAATATAGAATAGAATTTAAAATCCTCCTCCTCACCTTTAAAGCTCTTCATGGTCAGGCCCCTTCATATCTTAAAGAGCTCATAGTACCCTATTACCCCTCTAGAACATTGAGTTCTCTGAATGCTGGGCTACTTGTGGTTCCTATAGTCTCTAAAAGTAGAACAGGAGCCAGAGCCTTCAGTTACCAAGCTCCTCTCCTGTGGAACCAGCTTCCATTTGTGGTTTGGGAGGCAGACACCCTCACCACATTCAAGAGTAGGCTTAAGACATTCCTCTTTGATAAAGCTTATAGTTAGGGCTGGATCAGGTGAGTCCTGAACCATCCCTTAGTTATGCTGCTATAGGCCTAGACTATCGGGGGATTTCCCATGGTGCACTGAGCTCCTCTCTTCCTCTCTCTCTCTTTCTGCACTCATTCATGTTCCATTAATGCATGTTACTAACTTCACTTCTTCCCCGGAGTTCTTGTGCTTTCTCATCTCGCAGGTTCTCATGGATCCTGGTGGAGCCTCCTGCCATGGTCCTGCTTGACTGCCATTGCTAATATCACTGATATTAGTGTTATTATTATTATTATCACTATTATTATTAGTACAGTTACTAATATTGCTATAATCACTGCTCATTGTCCCCCATCGTTGTTGTTATCGTCATCATCATCTTCTTCTTCATGTTCATCATCATCAGTCACAACTGTTAGTGTAGTTGTTGCTACTGTTGTTGCTGTGCACCTTTGTCTCTGTCTCTGTCCTTCTGTCGTTACCTCTGTTCTCTCTGTCTGTCTGTCTGTCTGTCTGTCTGTCTGTCTGTCTCTCTATCTCTCTCTGTCTCTCACTCTCGCTCACCTCAACTGGTCGAGGCAGACGACCACCCACCTAGAGCCGAAGGATCTGTCCTAGGTTTCTGCCTCTTAACAGGCAGTTTTTCCTTGCCACCGTCTCCAAGGTCTTGCTCATGGTGGTACTGTTGGGTCTCTGTAAATAATGTTATAAAGAGTTTGGTCTAGACCTGCTGTATTTGAAAAGTGTCCTGAGATAACTTCTGTTATGAATTGGCGCTATACAAATAAAACTGAATTGAATTGAATTGAATGTAATGTTGGTATAAAGTAGCAGAAAATGAAAAAACTTAGGTATAAGTCAAAACTGTTCTTAAGTACATTATTTAATCACCACCTCTGCAAATATTGTACTTTTTTCTATACTGCATTTATTTGACAGCTATAGTTACTCTTTTTTAAATTAAATTTTACATTTAAAAAGGGTTATAAAATAAAAAATGTTGTTACAGTCTAAACCAGCACTTCCCCTCGGATTTACTCTGCGACCCTTTGGGGGGGCCTAACAAAGTATGTGGACACCAAAACGTTACAGACACACTGTATCTGATGACCGAACATGTCATTAATCTGCCTCCACTCTTCTGGTTTCAGGCTTTCTATGTTGAACCTGGCTGCGGGATCCAATCAGACACAAGAGCATTACTGAGGTTCAACTCTGACGTTGGATGATAAGTTCTGGCTCACAGTGGTGTTCCAGTTTATCCCAAAGGTGCTGAATGGGGTTGAGGTCAGGGCTCTGTGCAGGACAGTCAAAATCTGCCACATCAAACTGAGAAAAACATTTTAGATTTAGAACACCATTAAACCACATAATAGAAATATAACATACAACTCATACAACAGAGGAAAAAAATACCAATATGATAAGTACATGACTAAAGGAAACAAATGACAATAAGAAACACACAAACTGAACAGAAGTGTAAAAAATTATTATTTGGAAATGAAGAAAATAAAGATTAATACTACTTAGTACTTTGGTATTCCAGATCTGTACACTGTGATATCTGAATACTGGTTTGTTTGCTGAAGCTTGGTTTAATGATGGTGAATCTGAGAATTAAATTAGAAGAAATTGCCAAAATATGATGAGAGAGACAGTCACCAAAACATATAAACTTTGTTGTGACTGATAGTTAAGCCACAAGCAGAGGTGTGTGTGTGTGTGTGTGTGTGTGTGTGTGTGTGTGTCTGTGTCTGTGTCTGTGTGTGTTGTATGTAAACCCAGATAGGATCAGCTGACAGCCTACGGAGTTCAGCTGGCTCTTGGCGTTCCTTCAGAGCCGTTCCTTTTCTGGCTTTTGGCACTCATCCTTTGTCCCAGTTTATTTCTAAAGCCTTCATCCTTCCAGCCTGTCTGCCTCAGGGAGGTTTTTATGGAGAGAACACGCTGACATCTGACTACTACACAGTCAGTGGCTAAACAAATTATATAATACTGCCTGTAGCAGAGTAAATAACATGCATGGAAAGAAAACATACAAGAAACTACAAGACTGATGAAGTGTGTTTAAAGCTCACTAGAAGAGAGACAAAACTACCACAAAGGGCCTGAGGCTGAGTGAGGGACTCTCTTTGCCTCTAAATAAAAACTTCCTCATTGATTTTAGATGTCACTGGAGTGCTAGAAGCCTGTTGGAGCATTTTCTTCAGAAAATGAAAACAGCACATACGTCAGTGTTGTACACACAAAGCATCAGGCACACTCAAAAAGGAGGAAAGGTCATGTTGTTATACTAAATCAGAAGGGGTTATCCTCTGTACGGAAGCCATGTTAGGACTTATCAGACTCAATCGATACTTATCGCAGGAATGTTTACAGGATTTAATCAAATCTGGGTCCAAGTTTGATCCCAACTTTTGCTGCATGTCATCCTCTCTCTCTCTCTCTCTCTCTCTCTCTCTCTCTCTCTCTCACCACTTCCCTCTCACTCTTCGGCTGCTCTATCAAGGTAAAGGCAATAAAAAGCCCAAAAGAATCATATAGTCATAGTCAGTTTCTGTGGTGCAGTGGTGGTGTAGCTAGCATATTTCACAAAAGACTTAGTATTCTTTCTGTGTATCATCATCATTGAGCATCATTGAATCCTAGTTAAACCTATAAAAAACAAAAACAAAAAACAGAATCAAAGAAACAGTGAATTCTGAATGAAACAACTAGAGTCTAGACAATTCATAACTGTTCAGTTCAGAGACAGTTTCCACACTAGCTGTGAAGAAGGAAGCATGATAATACTTTAACTCTTGAAAGGGTTCACAGAAAGAAATTAGATGAAGTGAGTTGCAGGATAAAAGTGTTGGGAGTTGTTAGCATGATGTTAACATGACTATAATGAACATTTCGTTTTACAGCCTCTGTTGTAGATAAATACATGAGCCTGGTGCCAAACAGGTTTTTGTTGTATATTAACAAATATATAGGGGCAAGGACCCCCATGATTATGAATACTATTTAGACTACAGTAAAGAACAAATCAACACATTACATTGTCAGTTTCATTCAACGACACAAAGCTGCAGGTCTTCTGACTGGTTTATGCGTGGGTTGCTGAATGTCATCATTGCAACACATATACTGAGCAACAGAAAATGCTCTAAACTGTTCAGATTACTTTACTGTGCGATTGTTCATAATATAGAATGGACAACTCAATATCTGTAGTCACACCGTGAATTAAACTGCACTTGTTCAGGTGAACGTGCTGCGAGGAGCTCAATGCTGTATGTAAAGAGAAACAAATGTATCTTCCATGATGACCCTTAAAAGGAATATACAATCATTAAAACACCTTATATCACATACTCCAACGGGTTCAGAATAGATGTAGAGAGCTTCCTAAAGAGCCACGGTGCATTACACTTCATCCAGACCTTGAACCTGTGTGCCTGACCCCCTGCCCCCTGCATACAGGCCTGAACACAAACTGGCAGACCATGGGCCATTAGAGATGAAGGAAAGAGCTGTGTACAATAGACAATAAAATAACCATTACTGATTTGGAATTATTTAGAATAATTAGAAGTTACATTTGTGTTGATACAATGGCCTGCTTGTCCTTCAAAAACTGGAAAGGTTTAGGACTCCAGGTCGCACTGTAAAAATAAACCACAGGAGGGATTAGTACAGTTTTATTTCATGCTTGAAGGGATGAATACTGGGCTTCCTTTCAGACCATCGGCAGGATATAAAACCATATAAGATCAAAAAATGTTAAAACACCACAAACCTTGACCAGGGAAAGCTGGAACATCATGAAGCGGAGAGAAGAGCTCACAGAAGACCTACTAATTTTGGTGCTCTGATGTGGAAACTCAACTGAATTAAGCATTTGAAGATGTATTAATAAAAAAGAAAGAATGGCTGAGTGAAATGAAGTATATTTTGTTCACTAATCCAGTGAAGATGTTAGATTTCTGTATTAAACAGGTTCCTGCACCAACAGTGTATGCCTCCTAATGTGTGATTCTACAATACAATGTCCCCCCTCAGAGGTCTTAAGGTGTGTGTTCCATTGACTGCAATGTCTACTGATCAATACGAACAGCCTTTCATTGTAGTCAAATGACAGGAGATCATTTTTGAACCTCTGCTTTCTGCATGAATTTTTAACTTTTTGGGTTCATTTTATGACAGAATCAAAATATATTATCATTATAAATATCATTATTATTATTATTGCAGAGGCTGTAGTATTAATCATGGAATACCATTATTACATCAATATTAGTGTTTTATAAAAGGTTTGATATTTGTTTTAATATATTTTTCTGTAGGGCACATAACTGTCAATGGTGCACATAAAGCGCCAAGCAGCCTGTGTTCTCTTGTGCCACTGTTTGAATGAAAGAAAAGACGGGATTGGTCAGTCTTTCACATGCTGGATGAGAGGAGGCCCAGGATTGGTTGGACATTCTTCAAGAAGAAGGCGGGACCGTGTCGAGCCCTTCAATGGGCGTCCTCAGTGATTGGTCAGTAGTAAAATGACGTTGAGCTATTCCTGTAAGGGGCGGGGCCTCTAGTCATTCTTTAGCAGCCGGCGTTTTCTCTCACCGGCATTTCAGTGTTACACCGTGAAGGAGAGGCACATCGGTGTGCTATTTATTTATTTATTGTAGTTTATTTTAAATCTTACGGAGCCAATCATGCTCGGCCTGTGCCTTTACGTCCCCGTGTCTAACTCAGACCCGATTGAAGTGGAATATTTTGAGTCTAACGGGCTGCCGTCCGAGCTGAAGTCTCTCTTTAACAAACTGAGCGTGTTCCTTCCGTCCCAGGAGTTTTCAGCCTACCAAAGATGGCGAAAGGTAAGAAAAAACACGTTGTATTACTTTGTATGCCAAAGCACAATGTGTGTAGCAGTTACAGTTACCTACTTCTTTAAATCCAATTACTTTGTCCCATTAGCGGCACTAAATCCTTTCTTTCCGGGCGCCGGCTAGCTTACCATGGGGTTGTAAAAAGCCTTTACGACTAGGCCGCAAAGCTGACCGGCTTCTAGAAAAGTCGCCACGAGAACCTTTCATATTTTTTATTTATACATATATGGCTATATACAACGTTAACACAAGCTAAGTTTCTTTTCAAATGTAATGTTGATTCGTTTTCGCCCATCCAATGTAATTGCCATGAATTGAAGAAGCCACACTTTACCGGCGCGGGCTGTGCTGCCGTCAACTTCTTTCATTTTCCACCCTAAAAAGGAATGCGTGCTATTCCAGGGAATTTCGAAAGTAGCTGCAGTGTGTATCTGCTGCCACGATCAACTGTATCCTTAAAGTGGCAGCAGACAACATATCGGATGAATAATTCTGAAACGCATTAAAATAATGTCAAATGCACAAATTGTATTTATTTTATACATTTGTGGAAACCAAATGTCTTGCAGTAGTTCAGGCATTGCACTGCTTTGGACATAGTGTGTATTTGCACATAGTATTGCAATGTGTTACTCACAGATGCACTTTTCTAAAACTAAAAAAACTGGTGAACTGAACTTTTTTTCTTCTGTGGATGCACCATTTCATGAATTGTTAAAAGTCAGTGTCGAATGTCAGTTCTTGCACTCAGCTGAGGTTAGCATTTTTGTTTGTGAACTGATGGCAATGCATGTTCTGCCACAGCTGCAACAGTTTTTGGCCTTTTTCTATCACATTTCAGACTCTATAGTATATAGAATAGCAGTACAAGTAAAACAAACACAGACCAAATGTGTGCAGAAATGCCATAATGTAGTAAGTAAAGTCTTCAAACTTGGACATGGCATTCCCATCTTGACCATGCAAGTCACATTTATGTACCTGTGCAGATCATTTAGTGTGAGCTGAAGGGGAGAGCAGAATGTCAGCAGTGTATCATTACTATGTGACAGTAATATGTGGGCATGGGGGTCGGGTGTTGGAACTGGCCAGCGCGCTGGAGGACTGCCGGTGTCCTCGTCCTGTTTTAGCTCAGAAGGTTTGAGCTTAGACAGATTATAGCAGTTGGCGGGTCGAGCTGCTGTTGAGGTCAAAGATAGACCAGAGTGTTACTACCTGCCTACCGGTCCTGGAGAAACCGACGTCATACCAGTCATTCAAGACAGCCAAGAGCCCAGCAGCTTAGCAAGTGGGTCATAATGCTGTCTTGTGGGGTCATGAAACACAAGCTTGGGAACCTTTTTAAATCTCCTGTCATATACAGAACATTGGGATTGGCATTTAGACAGAGTACATTTCAGAACTTGGTGTACCCATATCATAAGCAAATGTTAATTTGTTTGAATGTGTCAGCACAGATGACTCCTTTGCATACCACTGCTGTTGAAACTGTGGTTTCTCTCTGAAACCACTTAACAACAATATAATACCACACTGTTTTGGCGTCAATAAAATGAAATTCTTACTTCCACAACAACCCCGATTATTCAAACACTATGCTGTCCTTATATCTGACTTAAATTACCATGTCTCATTGCCTGTGTATTTTTTATTTTTCCTTGCAGAAAGCCTTAAAAAGGGAAGAAAATGCGTCAGGTGGACAGCTGGACTTTGAGGAGTTTGTTCACTATCTCCAAGACTATGAGAAAGACCTGAAGCTTGTGGTGAAAAGCATCGACAAGAAGAATGCAGGTATGAGGCTGCCTCTCCAGTTTGAGTTGACGTTTTGTTGCAGATGTGTCAGTGCTTGCTTGGTTTCATCTTTCACCAATATGGTAAGATACTACTTCTTACAACTTGTCTTTCCTTATATTTTAAGGTCACATTGATCCTAAGGAGTTCATGCAGTCTCTTCGGGACCTTGGTGTGCATATCTCCTCACAGCATGCGGAAAAAGCCCTTAAGAGGTAAATTCATTCTTCCGTTTCATGCACTGCAGTCTTGGCTTGTTGGATTAAGATGCTCAATATCTTACTTTTGTTTCATCTTTTCTTAAAGCATGGATAAGAATGGAATGATAACTATCAGCAGTGAAGACTGGAGCAACTACCCCATGGTGGAGAAGACTGAGAACATTCCTGAGATCATCCTGTACTGGAAACACTCCACGGTTAGTTCAGTGGTCTGCACAGCAACCACAAACTTTGCCCAAAAAGGGACAAATGTAGAGGCAGCTGAGCTGTCAGGACTGACTGGACTAGAAAATTCCACAGTTGGTATTGCGTACATTTTCCGATGTCCTCTTAAATCCGATAACGGTATCTGGGCATCCGATAATGGTATCACTCAAGCTGCAGCTAATCAAAGTGCAAAGGGCGTTTCACCTCTGTCCTGTCTGGGGAAAAAAACAAAAAACAGGTCAATTGAAAAACAAATTCCCTGAAAGGCTCCATCAGCCCATGTTGTGCGTCAGCAATTAAGCTCTATTAGGCTATGAAGAGAATTGGTCCCATTCTGGGAGGATTATGTCGGAAGGATTTGTCATTTGTTTAGCTGTTATGTAAAAGGGAGCAGCAGTAAGAGCATGTGGATCTGAAGTAATGTAGCACAGCTCATGTTAGAGGACAGCGTGATCTTGGGTGTTCAAGCTATTTCAACGCTGTGCCATCTAATAAATCTAGCAGCCTCAACTGTGTACAGAGGAGATACCAACAGGCTGAACCAGGGCCAAGAATAGGGGTGAAGTTACCCCTCCTGGGAGGGCAAGCAATACACAGCCAATTTACTGACGAAACATGAGCTGCTGGATCATTTGAGTTTAAAAAAAATATTTCATGCTCTGTGTGGTCACCTGTTTAATCCCCACAGCAGAACCAGAGTGTCCCTGAGTGACGTTGAAACTACTTTTAATGAGGAGACTGTCCTCTAATTAGGACAGGGAAATACATGAGCTGTTTTTTATCGACTCAACTCATAAAAAATGCAACAAATCAAAAATGGTCTTAAGTTACAAAGCAAGCTTGAAATTCTTATTTAGAAAGGCGGAAGAAAACTTTCATGATGATGATGTGAATTTCTAACTATTTTTCTTTTTTAAGCTCCCGTTAAAGGGGGCTAGAGTTGACAGAGGTGTTCCGACACATCCTGCTGTAACTCTGTACACTTTGTGCTCCATGACCTGAATAATTTCATAACCTGTCTCCTTATGGACTTGCGCCTTTTGCCCTTTGCCCACAGAGCCTCATTAGGTATATGGCTCAAATTTCAAAGCAGTGCTCTGTGTTTATGTTTTATCTAGTGAAATCTTGACCTACTCTGTGGTGTCTGTGAAAACAAACCTGGTGCTCAAAGACCGTTAACAAGAACATTTTCAGAACAGTACATGTGCAGAGCTGCAGTTTTCAGTGCCCCCTGCGAAGTTTTTTTTGCTGCCAAAGTGGTTGTTTCGTTAAGAATTGGAACTCTAACTGACAGCTGGTGGTGAAGATGAATGAAAACATTTTCATGTTCAACTAAAAACTTTCCAGAAGTTGTCCACATGACATTGATCTGTTCTGGTCTGTTACCACTGTCATATTTCCCTGAAGTGAAAAGAGGGAGTGAGTTATTGGGGGTTTGACGCATTTTTTCGAGTTCTGCTCTTATCTAATAATTCATGTCTCTCTCCCTGGCAGATATTTGATGTGGGTGAGAACCTGATGGTGCCTGATGAGTTCACTGTAGAGGAGAAGCTGACTGGCATGTGGTGGAGACACCTGGTTGCAGGTGGAGGAGCTGGAGCTGTGTCAAGGACCTGCACCGCTCCCCTGGACAGACTCAAAGTCATAATGCAGGTAATACAACCAAATCAAGTTTAAATAAATCTGTTAAAGCCTCTCCTGGCAAAAGTTTTACTAAAACTGAGACAGGTTTTGGGGTTTTAGTAACTGGGCAGCGTGTGGAGGAACTTGTGGAAACTCTAATCTTTCTTACTATTTGTAACCGGAGAGAATCATCAGCTCGTGGTTGATAATACCCAGTTGTCAGCTGTTTTGCTTAGCCACCAAAGCGTAATGTGAATCAAGAAATTTAAGCTCTAAAAATAAAATACAATTCTGAATAAGGATGTCATCAAGGCCATCATTTTCATAACTGTATGTGGCCCAATCAGTTGTCAAAAGAAATTGCTCAAGAGCAAGTTACCTACGGGTCATAAACAAGTTAATGTTTAATAAAGTGTGTAAGAGTGAGGGGCCAGAGTCCAGGGGCCGATTGTGTCATAGCCAGGCCACACCGCCGACCAATGATGACTCGCATGAGGGTGTCACACCCTCTACTGCATAATCGTCAGTCATGATTGCGATGTAGGTCTAACAGTACAGATTCACAATCTGTGTCAATGGCCCTGATTTGCGTCAGTTGCCAGGTGGAAAGTAGACTTTGAGCCCTCTTGACAGGGAATTATGTGCTTTGGTTACTTTCCCATCAATTAATTAAACAGACCTAGTTGGGCCTGCTTTTGGGTCAAAATAAACCCTGGCCTACTTGGCAGGTTGCCTGATTCATCCCACAATTCAGCAGTCATTTTAATAATTTCACCTGCCAGCGCAAACAGAAGTTTAGGGCTGTTCTCTGTCAACTATTTCCTTTTTTGCTTAATTATATCTAATTGATTTCTTCCCTCTCAGGTTTATGGCTCCCGAACCAACAACATGTGCATCATGACCGGGCTGACGCAGATGATCAAAGAAGGCGGTATGAGGTCATTGTGGCGAGGCAATGGCGTGAACATCATCAAAATTGCCCCAGAGTCTGCCCTCAAGTTCATGGCATATGAGCAGGTATGATAGTGACTCAAATGAATAACATATCGTACTTGGTGTTCTTGATGTCCATTCACTAATGCATTTTCTTTCTCAATTGGCTTCTCCAGATTAAACGTTTAATTGGCCGCGATAAGGAGACTCTGAGCATCGTGGAGCGGTTTGTTGCCGGCTCGCTGGCTGGAGTGACTGCCCAGAGCACAATCTACCCCATGGAGGTGATTAACCGTTTATTTGCATCTACTCTAAAATGAAAAGCCATTAGGAGTCCTTTTTTGAGGGCTTCTCAAAACTTTACAGTGAAATGACACCTTTTCCTTACTGAATCTGTCCCCAGGTCCTGAAAACTCGTCTTGCTCTGAGGACCACCGGGCAGTACTCTGGTATCTCAGACTGTGCAAAGCAGATTTTCAGGAGAGAAGGACTTGGAGCATTTTATAAAGGCTACATCCCCAACATGTTGGGCATCATCCCCTATGCAGGCATCGACCTGGCAGTGTACGAGGTGAGCAGCCACTACTACCCCACACACACACACACACACTTTTATTGCATTCTTTAGTCTTAATAGTATCGGTTTGTACTGTAATAAACTCTGCACACACTTTTCTTCATACCTCAACCTCTAATCTGAGAAAGAATGTTTATCTTTTCAGCTATAAATTCACAACATTGACATACTAAGCACACTGATAATATACAAACACAGTTTTACATCTGGAAAGAGTATTTGTTCAGTTTGTATTAAGACATCTTACCTCACCACCTCTTTTAAAATGCCACCAAAGACTAGTCTGAGTTACGTAACACAATCTGAATGAGGGAAGTGTCATAATACTGAGGGGAAAAAAACAGAGTGCCAGTAGACATATTTCTCATCTTGTACTTTTCCCTCAGACACTGAAGAACCGCTATCTGCAGCAGTACGGCACCAACAGCACCGACCCTGGTGTGTTCGTCCTGCTGGCATGCGGCACTGTGTCCAGCACCTGTGGCCAGCTTGCCAGTTATCCTCTGGCTCTCATCCGCACACGCATGCAAGCACAAGGTGAGTGTCTGCTCAAGTCAGCATGAACTAATGGATATTTGAACACTGATACTGACTTAATTGTGTAGATATTTAATGTCTCACCTGGAAAATGGTACTATTAGAATTTTCCAAAAATTGTATTCTTGTGACAAAAAAACATCTAAGTGCTGTTTTTCTGTCTTTACAGCTGCAACAGAGAGCAGCCAGCAGATGACAATGACTGGTCTCTTCAGGCAGATCTTGCAGACAGAAGGCCCGACAGGGCTCTACAGAGGCCTGGCCCCCAACTTCCTCAAAGTCATCCCCGCCGTCAGCATCAGCTATGTAGTGTACGAGCGCCTGAAAACACAACTGGGAGTGACATCACGCTGAAACTGTCACATGACTTCAAAACTTGAATGTGACAAGTGACCCTCACCCCTCCTACCCAAACACCCCACTACCCCCTCCCTCCCAGGGTTAATGCCATGGGAATCCCAGGGAAACTTTTTGGCCCCTCTGGGGGTTCGTGGAGTCATCTCATTCTGTGAATGTCAGCTGACGAAAGACGAGAAAGGACACTGAACGTTGGAAATGCCAAGGTGGAGGATATGGACTCTGTGAGCTCAGGATGTCGTAATTGTGTCTGCTGCTATTTATGTTTTAAAGGAGTTGTGCTGAGAGCTGAAACATGAGGAATGTGAGTGTTAATCGAGGACCAACTATTTATGCTCTTCCTGCCAGTTTGTATTTTGCTGTCGAGCAAACTTTTTTTCTTTTTTTTTCATGTTGGTATGACATTGCAAGCTTTGATCAGTGTGTAAAATGTATCACCAGCACTCATAAGTAAGTCTACGGAAAACAATTCTCCTAAAGAGTGTCTGTTTTTACATGGCAGATATAGCATTAATAAGCTCTTTAAGATGTTTTACTCTTTAACAGTCCTGTAGGAAGAAATGATTGTGTTCCTAAATGAGAGGGTTTTGCACACGTGAGTTTGATCTCTCTCCTCCCCTGTCCTGAATGAGTGGATGCCTGACTATGGAGTATTTATTTCCATCCATCCTGTATTTATTGTTTTTATTGTCTAGAAGAGAGAGGAGGTATAATGCTGCATGTTTCCTGTCTCAAGAGCCAAATGTGCGATTTGATACATTTTAAAATGCAGTGACTATATTCAGGTTGGGAAACTAACGCCAGGCAACAGCCTTAACATGTGGCTACCAAACACTAAATTAAGTTGTCTACTGAAATGTTCAAAGGAGGGTTGGAGTTTGTACTCATGAGTCAATGTGTTTGAGCAACTGAAAAATAACTTTTTGTTTGTGCAAAATACTTCAGATAATGTATGTTAATGTGTGTAGACATGTGTTTGCCCTTTTAAGGTATAAATGTCTTAATGTTCACCTCAGGGTTAAGGGCAGATTATTGTTTAATTCACAGAAGAGCACGCATGTTTGTTTGTTTTTTTTGTTTCACAACATTTATGCTCACTAAAACAAGGGCTTGAAAAAGATGAGTGGCATAATGCACTTTAATCACTGCTAGAAGGGCCTCTGAATGTCTTATCAATTCAGGGATTAAGATTTGATTCTTTTGTAAAGAATGAATTTTAGTATTGTTTTAATGGACCATTTTGATGCAAATAAATGCAAATTCTTGTAATGCTGAGTCTCCGATTTCTGTTTTTTTGTAAGAGCTGTATGATTCTTATCCAGTTCTCTGATCAGTGTCACTTCCAGAGAAATCCGCTGGTGTCCTGCACTGAAATGTGAATGTTTTGGGAAGTATTTTTTCCCACAGATGGGTCAAGAGACATTGCATGTGACCAAGACAGAAGTGTAATTAGATTGGGGATTTTCTTGTATTGGGAACTAGTTGGTATTTAATGAAGGGGACTTTTCTCATTTTTGAGAAAAACCTGCTGCAGCCTGGGTAATGATTAATGAGGCTTTACATTATATTTAGGGTTTACAGCAGCTTAATGATGCATTAATGTCATATCCATTATTGTAATTCTGAGTTTTTGATGTAAACAGCTTTCACGTTAACATGTGCGTCATAATGACTAGAATTATAGCAATAAAACAGTTGATACTAGCTTATTGCAGATATGTCAGTATCTGTGTTACGTCGACTGATAAATAACAAGAAATTGCAGTACAGCAATACATAATTAGTTGGGATAATTTAGAGCGTATCCAGAGAAGAAGAAAGTTTGTTCGTCAACTGTAAAATGTTCTATTTAGTACATGAGGGAAACATTTTTTAAATCTAACTGCTCTGTATTTCTGTATTTAAAAAATTACTCCAGGCCAATATATCTTTAATTATTCAGTATCAATAAGCTCCATTATTTCTGATTTGGTAATTAATAATATGGAAGTGCCTGAAAAACAAACAAATGTAGATGCTCAAATCATCCAAACACGGTCATTCATGTAATTAAACCCAAATGTTCAAATGTAAACCAATAATCCACACAATGTATTATTAAGAACTAACTAACTAAACTATCTAGCTTGACAGATGCCACCAGAGGTAAGACAGAAAATGTGTTTGTTTGTTTTTTAGTGATCCTTTAATGGTGCCCTAATCTCCACATGCATACAGTGGAGGGGGAGGATTCAGGAGTTATATAATAGATTTACAGTAGTGCTCCTATACCTCTGGTTGTTTCACAGTAATATTAGTGGAATATGTGTTTTTTAAATGCCAAAAAAAAATCCTTTTGGTTTCACTTTAAAATGTTTTGCTTGCTTGAAGTGAAACAAACATTTTCTGGACAGTAATAATCAGCTGCTCCCAGAAGCTTCAGTTTTATCTTCTGGCCAGAGAAGAGATTAAAGATAGACTTTACTTAATTAATTACAAAAATGGCTGACTCAATAAAGGGCGTGGTTCAGTTGTGTGTTATCAACAGGACAGATATTTTACTAATAGTTAGCCTAAGTAAACATTGAAGTAAATTTGCATGATTATCTTGTAACCTTGAGGATGTATTATTTATTTATTTATTTATTTATTAATTTATTATAATGTGGACGCTGGAGTTAATGCCACAGAAATCAAATACTTTAACGAATTGGGATTACACACTAAATAGTAAACAATGTTGTTACATAATGTAACTCCTCTGATTTTTACGCACACGACTCAGCTGGCATATTTTGTCCTACGCAGCCTCCCGTATGAAAACAAGGAAGCAGCGACAGTAGGATAACTAGATATAGAAACAGATATAAAATGCACATTTATCACTGTAACTAGCTACATGATTACTTCATAAGTCCCACAGTTATTTATCAGCAGGTTGAAATGTATTATATTTTATATGTAGTTGTTTTATTTTCGTTACTATAACAACTAAAGCTATGTCGGAAAAGCTAAACAGTTAGCTACGTTAGCTAGCAGCGGTGCTAATGAAAACATATTAAAATGGTGCAGAACATGTTTCGGACCGGGTTTCTGGTTCGGGCCACACACACCCTGCTCACCTGGGTCACAACCCTCATACTGTTCCTGCACAACACCGGTAAGTTGAGTAAAACTGGGACCATGTTTAAATTGTTTAGTGTCACAATGTCTGAAAACCCTGACACGAGATCACATGGGCCCTAAGACAACAAAGACACTTTGTTTCATCAAATGGTAAACAGTAGTGTATTGAGCTTGTCCCAGGACTCCCTGTCCAGCTCCAGGACTCCCTGACGCATGCAGGTGCACTTCTGATGTTGCTCAAATCCAGAAAGTATTGCTTTAGGTCTATTTGATAGATATCTCCTGCACAAGCACCTCAACTGGATAGTGTCTGTGCTCCATGTTCCTTGTTTATCTGTACATAAAGGAACTGAAACAAAGGAAAAAGGGGGACAAGCAAGCCATCACCAGGTGTATAGGTTTGCTGATGGAGGTGGAGATATATTTAACATTAAAGGAGTAGTCCACAGTGATTTAGTGTTGCACATCCATAAAGATGTGGGACTCAAAAGAGACTAAACTTACCATATATCTGTAGATATATATATATATCTATAGATGATATATATATATTAGACCATATATCTTGATTTTTAGTGTCTAGTACCGCCAAGCTCCAAGAACACTATCACCTACATCATTTTCTTTCATTTGGTTATTTTTTTACACTTCCAGAGCCACAGAAGACATTATACAGCTAAAAATTACTACAGAATTTAAATTGGCGGAGGGCCCCTTAAATATAATTGAAATATTGTGATGATGCAGCTTTAATGTTGTATCATTCTGGTCTGAACGTCTATATTACAGTTAAATACAATGTTCTTAACTTATCTAACTGTATCTACACCATATCATCCAGCTTTATGTTAGATATAATATTGCATGGAAGCACCAATAGTCATATTAGAAATATAATTTTCTTTAGTATTAAGGGCCTGAGACAACACATACATGACTAGACTCTATTGTCTGTAATTTGTGTGTGTGTGTGTGTGTGTGTGTGTGTGTGTGTGTATATGCGCGCAGATTTGCGGAAGTGTGAGGAGCGAGGAGAGCTGTTGCTGCCGGTTCTGTTTTTCCTCCTGGTCGTGCTGTCGGTGCTGTTATACTTTGCTGTTTCTTTAATGGACCCTGGCTTTGTTCTCACAGACGGCGTCAAGGTAAGCAGACACAGATGTCATTACTGTTGAGCCTCGGAGGCCTCAGATGCTGGAGCTTTCTACCAGTGTATAAAATCACTTTTGATTATCTTAGAGTACTGAAATGTCTGTTAACAAAAAGCTGTATTGTTTTTTTCAAATAGATTTCACACAGAATAAAAAGTCAAGGTCACAGTGAGAGTGAGTGTGTGTGTGTGTGTGTGTGACCTTGAGTGCATATCTGTGTGTGTGTGTGTGTACACCTGTGACCCACATCAGTCTGTATTACGCAGGGCGTTCAGGGTTCGAATGAGGAAATGGAGTCGATGATTCCTCAGTCTTCGACCCCTCGGCTGCGGCGCTGTGGATACTGCCTGCTGCAGGTAACCAGCTGCTGCCAGCTGCTCACAATCTGTGTTCGTCATTGACACGTGTGATTTCTCAACTCTGTATAGTCATGTCTGTATAGGGTTTTTTTTCTTTCTCTCTTTGCTGTGCTTTATGTTATGTACATTCATTTTTGTGGCAGGAACTTTTTTGAAGAGAATTCTAGTTTTTGACACACAGCTTATATTTATTCTCTGCAAGTACAGTATTTCCCTCTGAAATGTACAGTAGAAATAGTAGAAAATGGGAATACTCAAGTAATGCACAAATACTTTAAAATTGTGTGTGAGCACAGTTCCCAGGTAAATGTATTTAGTTACTTTCCACCACTGGGCACTGAGCACTGTCGAGGGCCTGGACACATCCTGTGTACTGAACACACTCTGATCTAACACTGACGCTGCTGTTGAGATGAATGCTCTGAAAAGACCTGGAGAGTGGTTCAACTTTTCCCAGTTAAAATGCACCTCTCTCTCTCTTTCTCTCTCTCTCTCTCTTTCAAGCAGCAGCCAATGAGAGCGAAGCACTGTCAAACGTGTAAACGCTGCGTTCGTCGCTTTGACCACCACTGTCCCTGGATCGAAAATTGTGTGGGAGAGAGGAACCACCGCTGGTTCATCGTCTACCTGCTGGTGCAGCTGCTCGCTCTGCTGTGGGCTCTTCACATCGCTCTGTACGTCTGCTGAACGCTGCTACCATCTGCACTCTTGAAGATAAATGTCCTTATCTGGCCAAGTACTTGCAGCCTCAGTTTATTTTCTAATTATGAGCCATTAAAAAATTATCACTGGGTTACAGCGTACTCAGTCTGCAGGTTTGTCTCCACAACAGTTTTGGTAACACGTCATTGAAGTGTAGATAATCTCTGTTTACATTTGGTAAACAGGGGCTTTAATATGTAAATGCTAATTCCAAAGTTCAAGTAAAACATTTTAGAAATTGATCCTGCACGCTTTAAGTCAAAGGAGATGAACTGCTATAAAGTATGTTGTAAATTGTAGGTTTTTCTTTACACGCATCAACTAACTGGTGGGATTAAACCTCAATGAATAGAGCCAAAGAACAACTGTTAGGTACAACAGACATGAATGGCAAAGAATGAACTCTTTGGTAACCGCTACAGTTAAAGCTGTGTATACAAATTTGTGTATAAAAAGCAAAACAAGTTGACCAAAGTGTGCAATATCCTTGATACAAAGTTAGATATACTAATATAACATTTTCAATATGTCTTTCTTTTGGACAGTTAAGCACATCCAAAACTTTGATGTTAAATGGGGGGGAACTGCTAATATTAAGAGTTTAGGGGCTGCAATGCACTTGATTGGTGGTGATGTGAATGATGGGTACTGTACATAGCTGGGCATGACACTCAGCTTTCCAGGCTTTGTTCACGACAAAGAACAACCCTGAAAATAAATCCCTGCATGTTGTATTTCTTCTTGACACTAGTGTGTGTCTTTCAGGTCTGGCCTCTCACCCAGCAGCACATGGGAGGTGTGGTTCAGAGTGAACGGGTTCCTGTTAGCGGCGCTGGCCGTTATAGGTGTTTTCTCTGTGGTGGTGGTGCTGCTGCTGGGCTGCCACCTCTACCTGGTCTCCATCAACTGCACCACCTGGGAGTTCATGTCACGCCATAGGATCTCGTACCTGAAGAACTGCGGAAACGAGGAGAACCCTTTTGACCGAGGAGTCTTCTGCAACCTGTGGGATTTCTTCTGCATCTGCAGGACGGTGATGTGGGAGCAAATGTACCACAAACACGTCATAAATTCTGTCTGACCGCCAATTAGACGCCACTGCACCGTCTGCACAGGGGTCAGACACTACTTTCAGGGCAAGATTTTTTTGATTTACAACTAAACAGATTTTTCTACAAAAACCTCTTAACTATGCTAGCAGCGTGGCATTAGAGATGGTAATGTCGGTCCACCTCTTTGGTCCTGAATGAAATATCTCTAATAATATAATAAATAAACATGTTTACAGCCTGGTACAAAAAAATGATTTGGTAAATTGGAGGGGGGTGAATTGTATATAACTCACCTGTTTAAATTATATCAAGGCTTAAAGTTAATCATAAATAAGGGCATGGCCGCTTTGAGTGACAGGTGGGTCTCAACTCCCCCTACGTAAGATCTACGTCTTTGCCCGTTTTTGGAGCATGTTTGTCCTAACAGGCTGCTGTCAGCTCAGGAGTCACTCACTGGACAGCAGTAGAGGAGGTGGTACCAGCATTTGGTTCAAGAGTAGTTCAGCCATCTTCATTAGCATTCAGAAAAAACACGAGCCGTGATGCCCACAGTGACACAGCAAAAAAAATATATATATAAGTGCAGTGATTTGACTGAAAAAGTGCAACTTTAGGCTACAGCTCTACTTTGGTGAACACCACCCTGATGTTCACTGAAGTGGTTTTAAATTCATCTGGTTCAAACATTCATGCTCTCCTCAGGATGAATTGTAATCACTGTGGTCGTCCTCTGATTTTTCATAGAGCGCCACCATCAGGTTAAAGTCTATAACATATATGACCAAATACCCACTAAACTTAATTCCCATCAGCCTCAGCTGTACCTTTTGTTTAATGATAATTATAAAATATTAGTACCATTCTGCTAACATACATTAGCATACGTCAGTATGTTAGCATGCTAAGCAATGCTAATGGCTCACAGAACAACTAGCACAACTGTAATTTTTTTTTTTTAAATAATCCAAGCTTCTTTGTGAGTGTTTGGACGTGTCTCATGCTCTTGGTTTGTGTTGGCCTCTGTTGAACAGAATTATAATGAATTATTTTCTGGCTGTTTTGTTGAAAGAAAGACAAAAACTTCTCCATCTGATTGAAACACCTTTTTCTCAGGTCTGATCACCACTTTTTATTCTGTAAACGTTTCTGTTGTCGCCCCGTGAGAGGGGCGACCCCATGTTATAACACTAATTGCCTTTATGTCTTGTGCCTTTGGTTGAATGTAACTTGTATATTAATGTAAGTAATTATTTTTACTGTTAAAAGTTAATTTAACTATGAGATGATCTTCCTTAAGAGAGACAAATATTTTACAAACATTTTTTACTGTATTCGTTCTGTTTGTATTTATTGACAACAAGAGTACATTAAAACACTGATGATATGCATGTTGTTATAGAGTACATCTGTACAGACTGACATTCCTGGTGAGGATGCTTCACGTACATACATAAATACAGTATTGACACATAAGTAACATGTAATAATCAGCAGCATGAACTTAAAGTGCTACAGCAGCTAAATCAACGCCGGCCCATTGTCCTGTTGTTGTCCTATTTGACTAATTCAGCTGACGGTCTTATCCAAAGCAGGTAGAGGGTTCAGAATCTTCCTTGGGGACACGTGGCCTTGAGTGGGCATACTGGCCTTTTAGGAGAAACTTCCTGTTTCAGGACAGTGGTCTGATTTGTTTAAAGAGTAACTTAACACCCAGTTTCGCCTTCACATATTCAAAAATCCTTTCAAATTAAGAGCACCCAGCCACCCACATCACAGCTCTGACAGATAACAGGAGTAAATTTGAAATGTAATTTTCCCTCTACATACAGTATGGAAGTAAACAAAGGACAAAAAGACTACGAAAAATTCCTGCTAGGCAACATTTGAGAGCACTCAGGCACAGATCTGTCATGCCATGGATGCATTATAGGAACGAGATCTTGGCCCTGTGTTTCCACTGGGCCCATAGACTTTACATTAGGATGATGTTAATGCAAATAGATGACAGATTTACTCAATATTTCTCTGGAAAAATAAGTGCTGTTGCAATGAACACTAAAGACAGGCGCTAGATCAATTAAATGATTCTACATATCATTTACTAGCTCTTAAAAGTGGATTTAGTGTTAAGTTACTCTTTAAAGTACCCTGTCTAATTTTGATATATTGCCCAATCGTTCCCCCAGCTCTCCCCTACTGCTGATGTTTCTGAAACTCAGCTGGAAGTTTGAACGTAGGAAGGGAATACTAGGACTCAACAAAATCAGGGCATGGATCTTCAAGCTCTGTCCCTGCTGCCTTCTCTGCTCTTCTTCCTCTTCTTTTATTGCACTGACATCATTAGAGCTCAGTATCACAGAATATGATTTGCTAAATTCAAAATACATATATTTTCTTACTATTATGGCTATATTAAATTGTCTATGGCTTCTTTTATACCGCTAGCAATTATTGTACAGGATTTCTAGTGCACAAGTTCACAACGGTGCCATGCACTTCTACCATTATAACAGAAAACAGTTGGTCAGGAGGAGACTGATATGTGGATGTGTACGTCTTTGCTACAAGAGAATGACTTGACAAATACATGAAACATTTCCATGTTGGATTTAACATCTTTTAAAAAAGGCTTATAACCAGAAATTGGGTTAGCTTGTTTCGTTTGTTTGGTCAAGGCAGTGGGCAAAGCCTGTCACAGTGATGCATAGAAACGGCAGCACGTACTGTACCTCTGAGGGATAAATATTCAAAATAAATATAATAAGCAAAGGCCACAAAGCAAGCTGTTTCTGTCTCCAACACACAGGATGCTTGAAGGCTACGACTGCTTATTGGTGACACCACTATCTGGAAGAATGAATGATTTATGAGTTTATTAAAAATGGCAATAATGTTTAAACTTTTAACAGACTTCAGTCAATTCATAGTTGATTCATGTACTGTTTATGACTGTGAAGTAGCAATCATTTCACTGATTATACATTATGACTTTACTAAAGGAGCCAGCTTGGCCAAGCTAGTTTAGCTAGGTCAATCAGTTGGTCAACGAAGCTGAAATTGTAAATTGTTCTTTTAGATGAACAGGTCATTCATTTGTCATTTAAAGAAATGTGACCAGAACTTGGCATTTTTCTTATTGACTGTTGATATGCTGACACTGATATATGTACACTCAATACAATAGCTCTGCAGCAAATCCAAATTTGGTGAAGCTAATACTGTAAATAACTATTTGGTTTTTGAGTTTAGTGTATGTCTATGGCCATTTCTTTAGGTTATTGATTTGAACCCTTTGTTGTTTAGGAAAATTTCTGTCAAGTGACTTTCAGTCAGTGTTCTTGACTGTGGCAATTCTATGTTCCTCTTTGTGCCACAGTAGTTTTCCTATGTCATATTATGTCAATGTGATTTGTGAAACCTTTCCTCATACCACATATATACATACATAATTATGCTCTGTTTGTGAGTGATGCACCAGCAACTGAGACAGCCAACACTACACAAGAGGAACTGAGTCAGCATTATGTGTTAACTTTCAGAGAGGTATGACAATCATCGTTTTTATGCATTTTTGAGGCAACATAAGGCAGCTTACAGGCATACAGAGTCCAGGCAGTCGCTGTCTGAACTAATGGTGTATCAGATCCAAAGTTTTCAGAATTATGTAATCTAGCAAGAGGAAAAGTGACCGAAATCATGCTGTGAAAAGGAGAAACACTGGATTAGCGATGGTCAATGGTCACATATAGGAGCTGACCAATACTGACTGAAAGCCAGAGAAAAAACAAACTTTAACCTCAAATCAAACATTATCAAAGCTTTACGAAATGTACTGCACCGACTGGTACATAGCAAATTCCAATATTGGAGCATTGAAAATAAACTGTAAAGAGGAATAAAGATATGGAATGCAGTGGTGATAATGTTATAAACTCTTCAAGCATCCTCTATCAAAGTTGTTTCACCTGTTTGTACAAATTTCACCTGACCAAAACTCATAAATAAACTCTTAACAGCAGGAGCAGGTGAGGGTAGAGTTGTATTACTGCTTAACAGTCTGAACAACGCTCGACTCTCCACAGAGAATATAAAGGGCTACAATCACTTTCTTTGCTCTGTTAAAAACAAAAAAGATGCTGCCTGATGCTGTTATTTAATCGTCGATTGGATGACAGTGAGAACAGTCCGCAAAATCAGCCATGGGATCATGTGTAATGTCCTGTTTAAGAATGACTGAGCTGCAGAAAATATCCAAGGTGTTCGTTCATTTGGTAGTACTATCAAGACCAGGGTGGGAAACTTTCTTTAAGGGCTAATCAAGTGAGATTTTTACTGCACTAGAGGAGAATATGGAAGCTTGAAGGGTTGTTCCTCAATACAAATAGCTAAATGATTCCTGGGCCAGGAGGTCAGATTTCTGGATTTCAGAACTCCCCTTTCTAGCCTGTAATCGGTTTCTGAACAAACTAGGGCTCCAACTCACAAATCAATATGCTTATTTTCATTCTTGTTGAGAGTTAGATGAAAAGATCGATACCACTCTCATGTTTGTAGGAAATAACAGGAAACAGGGACACAACTATCAGGGCCAAGGGACTATTACCTTTGGACAGAGCCAGGTTAGGTGTTTGCCCGTTTCCACTGAGCTAAGCTAACCAGTTACTCAGGGTGGTTTCATATTTACGTACAGATATCTTTCTCTCCTCTCGTTTCCCAAAATGTTTTACTTTTCCTTTATTTTTGAATTAATCGATTTAGTCTACAAAATGTGAAAAAGTTATGACGACCAATGGCCATTACAAGATACCACCGTCCAAAGTGAGATCGTAAAAAAGTGCTTATTGGCTGACCAAGTTGTAAAAATGATTCATGTAAATTATACAAAACAGCTAAAGGAAGCAAATCCTCTCATCAGCAGATGTTAAGCATCTGTACTTGATAAAGGACTTCAATTGATTATGAAAATTACTGAATAATGTTATGCCTTTTGAGTAAGGCAACTAGACTAAAAGTTTTAAAAAGTCCTGTTAATGTTCTTACAAGTCCTACTGTTCACCTGTAGCTAAACAAGACTCAACAATTACTTATTGTTCCTTTACTGTTTTAATTTAAAGGAGTATTAATAAAGTAGCTGGTTTCTTGAATTATTTTACTTGCCAATGAGGGGGTTGACTGTACGTAAATGATGATGATTGGTTACCTGCCATGGTAGCCTCTGAAGTGGACAAACTACCGAGTAAAAAAACAAACGTATGTGTGGTAATTTCCCACCCTGGTCTTTTCAGCTCATCTTTCATCCATGCAAGGCGCAGAAGTCGAAGTCTGCGAAGGCTTCCTGCTGCTCGGCAGAGAGGCTGAAGGGCTTGGAGGGAGGCGACAGGACGGGCTGGAGTCGAGTGAACTCGCTGTCAAAGTTGCTGACATCCATTGACTCTTTGATTGACGGCAGGAATGGCGGTTTTACTTTCTTGGCCAGCAAAGCTTCCCAGTCGATGGTCTGAAAGGCAAGTTTTCAACAACAATGGGGAACAATGAAGTTATCATTTAATACTGAATCAGTAACGACTGCTGTCCACACTTTTGTAATTTTGAACAAACATATAACATGTCCATACATTGTGGTCATAGGTAAAGCATGAAAATAATCAATAGCTTAGTGGAGTGACCCCAATTGTTTATCACAGCTTTGATGTGTCTTGGCAGAGCTTTATGTGGGGAAGTAGCTGTTTATTTATTTAGAGAGTATTTACCTCAAAGAATTTATCTCCTTTGACCTCGTTTGCGTCTCTCTCTCCAGCTCCGAGCCTTTTCAGAGGATTCTTCTTCAACAGCTGTACACAGATGATGAAGCTTTGTTAATGTTTTTTTTATCAGAGAACTGTCTGTGTTCTACCTGACAGTACTTCTTACTGATATTTGCAGACTTTACCAGAGAGTTTGTAGTTTATCCATCCAAATTTATCCATATTCATTCTAAGTTTACAACAATCTGCTCTGACTGAATACTGAAAGGTGCCACAGAAACTCCATTACCAGACATATGCCCTGGTTTCTCTATTGTAATGATTATAATCATCAAGAATTTGTTTTATTATACTTAAAATTAATAAGTAACTACCTTATCGCAGACCCATTTGGCTCTTAATGTATGTAGTACATTAAGATATATATTATAATATTAAACATCTTTCTGGTTGTGACAGCCTTTTTACCTGGATTAGTCTCAATGTTTGACCTTACTTTATATTCAAGATCCTTAGGTTTAGAAACATACCAATTATGTTGAATGCTGAATGAATGTGAAATGTGGTTTAAAACGAGGCCTAAATATCTCAATTAATTATAATAAAAACATGGCAAGTGAGACTGTGAAAGGCTTTTACCTTCT